GCCTACAAGCAATGGGCCAACGCGGCCGAGCGAGAACTGTGTAATGTGATGGGCACGACCATCCCATACTTTGGGGCACGGGGCAAAGGAGTCGAGATGTGGTGGAGGCCCGTCCTGGGTCGCGACCACGGCTCGGTCCGTTACCCTGTGCTCCGCAGCATGAGATGGCTCTGGTCCAACTTCTTAATATTTTATCGTCTGGTGCTGTCGGGCCCCGACAAGCATCCCTTCGGATTTCGCTAAGGTGCAGGCTGCCCTGGCTTCGCCCCCTGCTTTTGTGACGGAACACCAAGGTAGCTACGCCGCTGCGTACACCGCCGCTTCCTCTGTGGCCTGCTTGTGGGGCGCGGGCCCCGACGAGTGTAAGGCCTGCCTGGGCGCGGTTCATACGCAGCTTCAAGAGGCCAACAAAAATTGTTCCGAGGAATTTTCCAAAATCGCCAGGTCCGATTGGGCCTCCTGGCTCCTGGGCGGGATCAACCAGGAAGCCCGTCGGGCCCACCAGGTTTCCAAGGGCCCCGCGGCCTGGAGGCCCACCTCCACCTTGAGTCGGTTTGGGGCCCTGGTTAGCGACCCTCAGGCCCTCTTGAAGCAAGAGAGTGACAGATTTGGCAAGCTGTGGCGGGCAGTCGATGCCCCCCCTCGGCTTCGGTGTTGCAAGCTCGAGCCACTGCCGCTGATCACAGTGGGCGAGTTTCGCGCGGCCTCGCGGTCCTACTCGAGGCGCTCGGCTGTCGGCTTGGACGGCTTCCACCTTCGGCACTATCAGTTTCTCTCCGACGCGTCCCTGGAGTGCCTCGGGAGGATGTTCGTGATCGTCGAGTCGGCAGGTATGCTTCCCCGACAACTTCGGGCCTTGATCATGGCCTTGATCCCGAAGTCGGTCCCTGGGTTCCGCCCCATCGGGGTTTTTGCGAGCCCCTTTCGGATCTGGGGCCGCATTCGGAGGCCCTATGCTGTGGCCTGGGAGGAAGCCAACGACAGGCCCTACTGGGCCGCGGGGAAGAATAGGTCGGCATCGGACGTGGTGTGGCGCCAGTCGGTCTCGGCTGAGCGCAGCACATCTTCAGGCCAGCATGCCGGTGCTATTTTTTACGATATGCTGAAATACTACGAGCAGATTCCTTTGGCCCTGCTGGAGTCGCGCGGCCAGAAGCTTAATTTTCCTCCTGTGCTGATGGCGGTCTGTCTGGCTGGATACCGATCGGCTCGTTTTATGGTTTTGTGCGGGGTCGTGGCTCCCCCAGTGTTTGGAGATCACGGTGTGATAGCGGGTTGTTCGATCGCTACGACGATGATCAGGGTTTTGGGGCAAGATTCTTTCGACTCTGTGGTCCTGGGTCCTAACACTACCCTAGATGTCTACATCGACGATTCTGGCCTTAACGCTGTCGGCACGGCCGAACAGATAGTCACCAGTCTGCAGGACGGAGCTACCACCCTGCAGCACGCCATCACTGTTATGATGCGTGCCCAGATTTCATTGGACAAGACTGCCATGGTCTCGTCTTCCAAGTACATTTCTGGTAGGCTCTCCCAAGTCTTTGGAGATCTCGTTTGGCCCCACAGGGAAACCACGGTTAACCTCGGCATCGATTTCACTCCAGGGACTTCCAGGAGGGTTAGGGGGCGAAATGCTATGGCGAAGACCAGGATGGATGCTGCGGTGCGTAGGACCCGCCGCTTAGTCCGCCAGCGTGGGACGCTGGGCTCTCGCGCTACTAAGGTGTTTGTCTCTGGGCCGCTGGCAGGCGCTCAGTACGGTGCTGAGGTCCACGGCATGTCCGAGGGTGAAGTGCACAAGATCCGTCAGTTGGCTGCTTCCACCATGAAGCCGAACTGCGGGGGACGCTCGCTCACGATCCTCACCCGTCTCGAAAAAGACCCAGCCTGGTACGGATCTGTTGCACCCATCATTCGGTATTGTAAGGAGTTGTGGCTGCTGCAGACGAGGGCTCCCTGGTCGCTCAGCTGGCACGAAATTCGTGAAGCCTGGTCCGCTGTCTGGGCCCGACCCCCGCGAACCTGGAGATCTTGCACGGGCCCCGTCGGGGCCATGTACCTCTCCCTGAAACGGCTCGGCTGGGACATGACTGACCCTTTCGCGATGGCGGACGACAGGGATGTGCAGATACCCCTCCTGCTCACCTCCCCTGCCCTTTTGAAGAGATTTTTTAAAAGCGCGGTTTTACGGGATTTTGAAATCGAGGCTGGTAACAGGTACCACGACGGGACCCGCCTCTGTTTCGATTTGGCTGATGCGGCCCTGGCGTCCTCCAAGTTTTCCCGTAAGGAAAAAGGTGCCATCAAAGCCTTGATCTGTCAGGCTGTGTGGCCGCTCAGCCGTGCAGCCGCCCTCGGCTACTGTGTAGATGACGAGTGCTATCTGTGCGGCCAGGTAGGAGACACGATTCTGCATGGGCTTTGGTTCTGTCCTGAATGCGAAGAAGATCGAGTGGAGATTGTTGGTGAGCGTCTTCTCGCCAAGATTCGTGCGGAGCTCTCGGCCGATCCCAGTCCGAGCTTCAAGTTGGTCTGCGAGACGGGCCTTTTCCCGCGCCCGTCCCTTTGGGCTCCAGGCCCCCTGTCCCAGGAACAAGCCCTGGACAGCGTCGTGTTCCAGGTCTTCCCTGAAGCGTACCTGGCTGAGGGGTTGCCAGTTCCTTCCGAGGGGGTGAGGGCTTTAGGAGGGGACCTCTACACGGACGGCTCCTGTTTTCGGTCGTCGATCAAGGATCTTTCCCGCTCGGGGTGGGGAGTTGTGAGTCTTGGTCCTTCGGGTAAGATCCTTGCTCAAATGTACGGCGCGCTGGGCAGTTTTTTCCGCAGACGTCTGTCGCTGCGGAGTTCGCAGCGCCAACTGGTGCCGCCAGCCTCCTCACCAGTGCTTCTGACATTTTCAGTGATTGTGCTGCCGTCGTTGGAGAATACAGCAAGCCTTTTGTCGAGTGCCTGTCGCCTAATCGGCCCTGCAGCGGCTTGGTTATGCAGAGCTACGCGTTTGCGAATCGCATGCTGCGCTCGGTCCAGAAGGTCAAGGCCCACAGAGCGGACGACCCTGATCTTCCAGAACTGGAGCGCCGACACATTATTGGTAATAATGCTGCCGACGAGGCGGCAAAAGCAGGTGCGCGGTTGCATGAAGATTTGAATGCTGACGATCGTGTGAATCTCAACCACGCGATCCGCACGGCAAAGGCCGTCTTCAAATTAGCTGCAAAATTGCTCGAGCGCTGGCCCAGGACCAACCTCGAAGGTGTGCCTCGCGCGGAAGCCCCGCCGAGAGTCTCCAAGCCTGCCAGCCCGTCACACGAGTGGGCCTGGGTAGGCCGATTTTGGCAATGTCCGAACTGCTTGCGTTGTTCCCGCAAGCAGATGAAGCCCGCTCCAGGAGTGTGCACCCGCCAGCTCCGAATCGATCCTGTCGAGTTGCGAGCCCTCGGACACAGCTGCATTGTGATTGACTTCGATGACCACAGTTTTGCCTGTGTGTGTCGCGCCTGTCACGCTTTCAGCACTGGAGGCCAGCTTCGACGCTTGTCCAAGACATGCGTCGGCCACCCTCCAGACCGCAGCGAGGTTTTTTCGCGGCTGAGCAAGGGGCTCCATCCTGACCGCAAGAGGAAGGGGGCCAGAGCTGACTGCGAAACCATTTGCCCCATTTAGTTGGGGTCTGAAGCAGTGGATGTCAAAAAAATCCTCCTCCTCCTCCTCCTCCTCCTCCTCCTCCTCCTCCTCCTCTTCCCCTCCTCCCCTCCTCCCCTCCTCCCCTCGTCCCCTCGTCCCCTCGTCCCCTCGTCCCTCGTCCCTCGTCCCCTCCCTCCTCCTCCTCCCTCCCCTCCCTCCTCCCCTCCTCCTCCTCCTCCTCCTCCTCCTCCTCCTCCTCCTCCCCTCCTCCTCCTCCTCCTCCTCCTCTCTCCTCCTCCTCCTCCTCCTTTTCCGCCTCCCCTCCCTCTCCCTCCCCCCTCCTCTCCTCGTCCTCCGCCTCCTCCTACTCCTCCTCCTCTCCTCCTCCTCCTCCTCCTCGTCCTCGTCCTCCTCCTCCTCCTCTCTCCTCCTCCTCGTCCTCCTCCTCGTCCTCCTCGTCCTCCTCGTCCTCCTCCGCCTCCGCCTCCCCCTCCACCTCCTCCTCCTCCTCCACCTCCTCCTCTTCCTCCGCATCCCAACGAACATCAGTGATGCCTGTGACTGACAACTCAAGCTCGGGCGCTGCTAGAAGTGCCCCTGGCCCAAGGTGCCCCAGGATTTCCAAGGAGGCCCCCACGGCCTCCAGAGAACCCCTCACGAGGCCCAGAGGGCATTGAGCGAAAAGCTGAGGGCACCTTGGGCCAGGGGCAGCTTTAGCAACTCCTGGCACGGTGGCAAGATTGGCCCAAAACCATCAAATAACTCGGGGATCTACTGACCCGGGTCCATCCAAACCCGGGTAAGTCGGGGCTTGCAGGATCCTGCAGGAACCTGCGCGCTAGCCCGGGCCAATGCAACCCTGGCTCTGCAAAATCCTGCAAGATCCGGCGCTGTGGCTGACCGCCGTTTGCATGGACCCCAGTCTCAAGGCTCCAGATGAACAACTGCGATTGCATCGGCGACGGCGACGGCGACGGCAACGGCGACGGCGACGGCGACGACGGCGGCGGCGACGACCACGACGACGACGAAAGCGAATGCCACGCGCATGAGCGAATACCCGACGCAGCAGCGTAACATTTCCTTCGGCTATACGACCAGAACAGAAACACAGAATGTATAGTGCGAAGGAAGCACGGCCACTGCGCGCTTCGGCTTCGCCTGCAGAAGGGGACTGCCACCAGCCCTGAGAAAGGTGAAGCTTCGTCTGGCGGAACAGAAGCGGTTGCGCCCCTCCTTGCTCCTTCCCCCTTCCCTCGTCCCCAGGCTCCTCCCTGGCCCCCTCGGCTCCTCCCCGCTGCACGCCCCGCTCCTCCTCATCCCTTCATCCCCACTCCGCGCGGAGGCTCGCAACAAGAAACATGCGGGCATGGTCACGCGAGGCTCGCGACTGCCTCTGACCGCACAGCGGGGGCCCTGAAGTCTCCTTCCAGGTTGTCCACCAGAGCCAAATGCTTTGCACACGCCTCCGGGGGAGTGATGACGTCGGCGTGGTCGTCTTCTCCCAGTAAGCCGCCCACGACAAACCCTGATCGGCCCAAATGCTTCGCGTACACGTTCAAGTAGCGAACGCCGCTGTCCGTGAGTCCATGGACGACTTTCAGGTCAACGTTGCCAAAGGCAACCCATTCTGGAGTCTCGCTGTCTGCCTGCGATGCGCTGTAACGATAACCCCCAGTCTGTTTCGCCTCTGCCCAGGACCCTGTGACGTTCAGCTCCTGGAAGTAGATGTCCGCGCAGCGCCCATCCAGGCGACGCGCGCTGGCCTGCACGCGGAGCAGGGCCTTCGGGGCGCTCGCTCCACGGGGGATGTTGATCAGAACGTGCTGGCCCTCCTTCCCGTGATGCCAGAAGCTGCCGATACCGCTGCTCCCCGGACCTCTCCCTGGGTGCGCCCTGACCAGGACCTCGAGGCGACTCCAGCGGAGGCGACGAGGACCTGCCAGGAGGCCCCCAAGAAGGCGGAAACGAGGGAAGCGTAGTGGTACGGGCACCTCTTTTCCTCCTCAGACCCTCATCAGGTCGAACCGCTCACCGTGGACGTTCTGCAGGTGGGGGTCGCCGACGGCAGCAGCGCCCCCGCCCGCCCCGCCCGCACTCCCGGCGGGGGCAGTGACGGGGGCGGGCGCGGGAGCGGATGAGCAGTCTGCTCTCGTCACCGTCGCGATGACCTCGTCGGTGCACGTAGCACGCTACCTCCGCTCGGCGGCGGTGAGAAACCGCGTGAGACGTTTGGCTGTCCCCGTTCCCCTCCCCCTGGTTCAACCCCGCTTGGGGCTGGTACTCGGGGCTTGATACCCCGAGTAATGAATGCCGCCTGGTTTGAGCCGCTGGGCTTCCAGAGGCTGTTCCGTTGTCGGAGAGCTGCGCGAAGCATAAATTGCGTAATCACATGGTCTTGTATGACCGGTCTAGATAGCTGCATGGGGGACGGAATATGGTCACACAGTGGTCGCCAGGGTGGGCTCCAACCAATGAGCTTGTCCACTTTGGGTGTGATTTACGCTACGCGGTGCAAGCTACACGGTGGACGCAGCTTGTTGGAAGCTCTGTGGTGTAATCTATGTGGAAGCTACGGGGTACAAGCTACACGGTGGAAGTGATATGGTGGAAATTACGTAGTGCAATGCACCCATCAGATTTATACAGTCGCCTGTTCCAATGCTCGCGCAATCATCCCACCCTCCACCCCGCAATTTCTTTCGCAAAACCCGTTCGGCTGCGATTACAGTTGCCGACTGGAACTTGTGGCACAGATGATCCAGACGATGGCAACGATGACGCTGCGGACGATGACAGCGATTGCGCTGATGGGGATGCTCAGAGAGTGCGCGCCCGCAGAAATCAAGCCATCCTGACATGATCTCGACTGTTCGCGCGGAAGCGTGCGCACGTGGCCCGCATGGTACGACCTGACAGGGTTGGTGGGCGCGCGATGGTGGTTCAGCGTTTTCGATGTGCACGCGCAAGCGGCACTGATGATATGGTTTCGCAGAAAAGGCTCAACAATGACAGCTTCCCTGCGCGCGAAGCTGTTGCAAATGCTAGTTGGAAAATCAGAACGGGTTTGGATAGCATCACCATCGTCATCATCGTCATCATCGTCATCATCATCATCATCATCACCACCACCACCGCCACCACCACCACTACCACCGCCGCCACCACCACCACCACCATCACCATCACCATCACCATCACCATCACCATCACCATTACCATCACCATCATCATCATCATCATCATCATCATCATCATCATCATCATCACCACCACCAGCATCAGCATCAGCATCAGCATCAGCATCAGCATCAGCATCATCAGCACCATCATCAGCATCACCATCATCACCATCACCATCGCCATCGCCATCGCCATCACCATCACCATCACCATCACCATCCACCATCACCATCACCATCACCATCACCATCACCATCACCATCACCATCACCATCACCACCATCACATCACCATCACCATCATCATCATCATCATCATCATCATCATCATCATCATCATCATCATCATCATCATCATCATCATCATCATCATCATCATCATCATCCCCTCACGCGTCTCATCATCCCCTCACGCGTCTCGTGGCCCCATGGGAAGCTCCACCGGGGGCCCCGGTGCCAGGGCCCATACAGGAGAGGGCGGGAAGAAAAAGGGCACAAAATGGCGTAGCCTGGGGCCCGCCCCACTTCGAGCCCAACGCGCCTTCGGAGAGACCGCGCCGTCGCGGGCCAGGCTGGCAGAATCACATCGGAAGCAGAGGAGGAGTAGGGGGAGGAGGAGGAGGAGGAGGAGGAGGAGGAGGAGGAGGAGGAGGAGGAGGAGGAGGAGGAGGAGGAGGAGGAGGGAGGAGAAGGAGGAGGAGGAGGAGAGGAGCAGGAGGAGGAGCAGGAGGAGGAGGAGGAGGAGGAGGAGGAGGAGGAGGGAGAGAGGAGGAGGAGGAGGACGAGGGAGGAAGGATGAGGAGTAGGAGGAGGAGGAGGAGGAGGAGGAGGAGGAGGAGGAGGAGGAGGAGAGGAGGAGGAGGAGGAGGAGGAGGAGGAGGAGTAGGAGGAGGGGGAGGAGGAGGAGGGGGAGGAGGAGGGGGAGGAGGAGGAGGAAGAGGAGGAGGGCGAGGGGAAAGAAGGAAGCAGGAAGACAACCGTGATGGCTCGCGCCGTCCAGGGCCGACGGACGACCACGACCACGAAGACAAAGGGCGACGACGATTACGAAGACGGCGGCGGCACGACGGCACACCCTTCGCACGCTTCGTGGCTCCGTGAGGGGATCCACCGAAGGCGAGACTCACACAACAACGGTACTCACAACTGCGGATGGTTGGGTCCTTCGCCAGGGCAACTTGCAAAAGGTTCTTGACACCAGAGCTTTTCAGAGATCTCCCCCTCGTGGGGCCACCGGGCTGCGAGGATCGGGCTTCAGCAGCGTGGGCACCAGTCCTGAAACCCTCAGTCCCAGTCATAGTTCCACTGCAATTTCCGATTTCGAATGTTCTAGCTCTACGTCCTGCTTCCTGCTGTAAGCGGTTACCGATCCGCGCGAAGGGGGGGGAGCCGACCAAGATTTGCTTGCTTGCCCCTCCCCCCCGGGGTTCTCAGAATTCCCAGTGGCCCTCGGACACGTGCGTATCCATGATGCTCGCGCCCCAGGGGGCCATCTTCCTCGTACGCCACGCCAGCTTCGCGCCCCCGCGGCCAGGTTCCTTCTACATTGCGCTGGGCTCGCGCTCCCGACACCCGAATCCTTTGCGCTCCCGAGGCCACCATCCGGTGTGCACGACACCAGGCTCGCGCTCCCGAGGCCGGGACCCGGGAGACAATCTCACCGGCCCTCTGGGTGCAGGCGGTCCAACGAGGTTCCTCGTCTTCTCTTCCCCAAGCCCCCTCTTCCCCTTCGGGGAGGGGTACCCCCCCCCTCCCCTCCCTGAAGTTTGTTGGGAGGTTCCGCGATGTGCTCAGGGGGGTCCCTTTTTGCCGAAGGCGGCTCCAAGAGGGCCTCCGCTGCTCCAAGATGGTGACACAGCGGGCGATGGCTTCAGACGGCTTTCAGCATGTTCCACGAGGCCCCGCAGACCGCTCCAAGACGGCCCCAAGTGCTCTCAGAGCCACCTCAGGACCTCCCCCCAAAGCCAACATCGCTCAAACCCCTGAGGAACATCCAATTTTCGCAGTCTCGTTTCGGCTCTCGAGGCCTCAGTCTGGCCCCGAGATGTCCCCAAAGAGCGCCAAGAGGGGCCCAGGAGGCCCTCGCAGTTGCGAAGGCTTTTGAGGGGGGAGTCGAATTGGGGACCCTCCTTTGGTCGATGGCCTCCACGATGGCCCCTAAGAGGCCCTCCAGGGCTCCAAGACGGCCCCAAGACCTTCAAAAGAGCTCCAAGAGGGTCCGAACGAAAAACAACAAAGAGGGCCCCAGGAGTGCCCCGAGGCAGCCCCAAGAGGACGCCACAAAGGCCTCACTAAGACTCCAAGATGGCTGCCAGAGCTCTTGTCCTCGTCCTCGTCGCCGTCGTCGTCGTCGTCCTCCTCCTCCTCCTTCCTTTCCTCCTCCTCGTTCTCTACGTTCTGTTCCTCCTATTCCTCATCGTCCTCCTCCAACTCATCCTCCTCCTCCCTCGTTCCCGTGCTCGTCCTGCTGTTCCTTCTCCTCCTCGTCCTCGTCCACCTCCTCCTCCCCTTCCTCCTCCTCCTGCTCCTCCTCGTACCTCTATGGGCACATGTTTCACTGCACGCTCCCACACTTCCCTGAAGAAGGCAACTCGCCTGGGCATCGCTTCAAGATCTCTTCCGCGCGTGTCCCGTCAACTCTCATCGGCATCGTTTCTGAATGGACAAGTGTCTATAAGCGAAGCGTGACTAATTACTTTAGGGTCGCGCTCACGGCTCCAGAATCCTGTGAACGTTTCGTAGTCCATTTACGTTGCACCATATTCGCACCCCTGAGGTCAGAGTCCTTGACAACTTGCGCCTGGTTCGCGCTTTCGAGACACGATCCCCCAAACATTACCCCAGACTTGCGCTCCCGAGGCCACGATCCTTTGTGAATTACTCCATATTCGTGCCCTGAGAAGGGATTAGCGCGTCCAGCCAAACCGCCAATATCTCAAGGCGCATGCTGAATGCCAACCACCCCCGCATGCTGTTCCCAGACACTTTCAAAACACAGCCGATGCCTCCCCGTATAGTTCTGAGGGGGCGATACCCCGCCCTCCTGGGATGGTATGACTGATATGGACAACGAACTCGTACTGTCCCAGAAGAAGGGGCGATACCAGGGGGGGAAGGTGGTGAAGTGTATTTGTTTGAACAGACGATCGATTTTGAGCGCATCCGTGCGTGACCATCTACAGTGCTCTTGCAAACATCCCATCCGCCCGCCCGCCACTTGCATGCACAACTCAAGTGGGCGACGATACCGGCAATCACGATGACGATGGTGTTCATAACGACGGTGAGACCATGTCGACGACGACGGCGAGGGGGACGGCGAAACGCGGATGGTGATGATACCGACGGTGGTTATACTTACGCTGGCAATGATGATGATGATGATGATGCTGCTGCTGATCATGATGATGATGATGATGCTGATGATGATGATGAGGATGATGATGACGATGGTGCTGGTGAGGATGAGGACATGCACGCGCAGAAATTCAGCGAGGGCGACGACATCGACGATGATGGCGGCGGCGACGGTGATATCGAGGATGATGTCGACGACGATGTGGTATGATAAGCAACAACGATGGCATTGATGACGCTAGCGATGATGATCCGCCAGCCAGTTCAAATTCCCAGTGTATCGTTATAGAATTCATATGTTCTAGTTCCACTGATGTAGCGATTAAAAGCATACGTTCCCTCTCGCAGAATGGAGCTCCCAGAAGTTCCCTGGGGTGCCCTGCAGCACGTGCCATACGACAGATTCGCGCTCTCGAAGCCACAGCACCTCGCGGATCCGCGACCCCGAGGCTACCACCCTGGTTGATCACGCGGCGTTCACAACCACGCGCACATCACGACGGCCTCGCGCCTCCGAGGCGGCAGTCACTTGCAGCTCCGGAGGCGTCCGCGCTCCCGAGGCGACGCTCCGTGGCAGCATAAAACACGTTTGCGTCTCCGAAGCCGCGGACCCGCCCACGGAGGCTGCCCCCCACAGCGCCACCCTCTCTCCG